TCACGTGGGTTTCTGTGTGGGGATATGCCATCTCCAGACGTTTTTGGGCCTTTTCCCATGCTATAGACTCTGTTTCTGCTTTAACGATTATCTAATTCGGGTCCCAATCCACATTAGACATAACCTTGTCATTCCGGGATTTCCAAATATACCAAATCAATCAAGGGAACATCCTCATCCTATCATCATTTGGCAAGTGCCAAAACAGTTGTGTCATGTTTGTAAACAGGCCTCCTGTTGGAAAATGGACTGGTGCCGCTGGAATCGGAGATAATACCCAAACTTGTAGTGCGGGCGGACACTCAAATAAAGTGTGATTACAGTTTGTGGCGCCATCCCACACCGCATACACTGTGGATCTATTTGCATACCCCGACTTCGTAATCTTTCACCGACTGTTATACATCCCGTCAGAACTTGCCAAAAAAAATATTGCAATTTTTGAGTATGTCATTTTTATTTTTCTTTTCCTTTCTTGCTATTTTTTGTTTTTTTTTTGAAACAAAGAGTGAGTAAAAACACTTTGCCATTGATATTGAGACCATGTGCAACAGACATATTGTTAAAGTTTCTCTAACAAAATAAAGAAAAAAGAAAATATTTATCCATATGGCGGACTGAGAGAGACAAGTTTTTTCCGATTTGAAAACCGTTTGTGTGACACATTTCACCACGTGCACAACCCGAATAGATATATTTTTTTTTTTGGAAATTATTGTTAATTTTTTTTTTAAAGAAACTTTTGCTGAAAATGACTGTTGTACGTGTTCTGAGAATACTGACTCTTGCACAGTAAAAATAAGTACAATGAGCTTGTTGTAGTCGAGTCAAGATAAGATTACCTGGATTTGTCTTAATTTTAAGATTAAAGTAATCCATTTTTATGGGTTTTCCATGAGACAAGAAATGAAACTATTAGCTCACACGAAATTTGTGAATAAGTGATTGTTGTATGTGTGAAATTAAGTCTAACAACTAGGTTTTTTTCTTTTTATGGTTAAACTAGGTCTCGGCTCGGGTTTCGGGGTCGGGTTCGGGTCAGTTCTATTCGGGTTCAGGTCTTTCCGGATTGCAAAATTTTAAACCTTTTTGGGTTTAGGGAAATTTTGGTTCGATTTCGGTTCGGTTTCTATCGGGTTCGAGTCGGTTTGGGGTTAAATTTATAGACCCATTCGGATTTATGCAAATTTTGCTTCTTGTTCAGGTATATTTGGGTCGGTTTTTATGATCATAACCCGAAAACCTGCAAAATAACCGAAATCTTTTATTCCATTTACTAAAAAATTTTGGATTTCTCGAATATTTTTGTTAATTTTTTTTTTCTATATACAAATATTATATTATATTTATAATTGTAATTTTATTTATTTTAGATTATTTTAAGTCTATATATAACTAATATTTGGATATATAATTATAGTTTGGATATTTTGGGTACTCTTTCGGTTCTCGGTTCAGTTTCAGTTCGAATTCAATTTTTTCGGATATAAGAATTTTGGGCCCATCGGTATTTGCATCAGTTCCGGTTTGGTTCTAATCCATCAATTTCGGGATTGGTTCAGGTCTTTGGATCCCGTAGCAAAGGCCTAGTTTAAACAATTGTGAAAGCTAAAATTAGGTTTGGAACTTTGGATGTTGTCCAGAATTAATATGCTTATAAAAAATGACTTTTTGGGGAAAGTTGAAATTTAAGGGGGTGTTACTAGTTTCATATATTAAAATCAACTCCAACAGATTTGAAGTATGTCAGATTTTTAAAATTTTGGTTCATCTACAATAATCTATTATTCATTTCACAATCTGTTATCTTTAGATTTTAATATACATGGCAGTATCTATTCTATAGTAGATGAATATCCCTCTTCATGATTGTGACACGTAAGCAATATCGGTTGTTGGGATCATGACACGGAGCATTTGAAAAATAAAAACTTTTCAAATGTTTCATGACTTTTCAGTTTCTACATTCAGCTTACCTCTTTACATTCTCATATTTAAATAAAAATTTTTAATAGAAAAAAGAGTTAGTGTTAGAAGATTCAAAGAAAAATAATAATAAATAAGTATTCATAAAATATATTTACAAATTTGTGTATAAAACTTTGTTCATTTACTTATATAAAGAACTATGCGAGAACAATATGATAGAATTGTATCAGGTAAAGATCAATTCAAAATATTTCATATATCGTAAAATAATATTCAAAGTATTTTTATAAAATTAAAGATTAGGTAATAGTGTAAGAAAATAAGAGCCAATAGTTAAAAACAGTAATTTCAGAGTTATAATCATTATACGAAAAAATATTGTAGATCATTAGTATAATAACAGGATTTTAAAATTAAATAAAATTAATTATAGTTAAATTAAAACAATAAAATTAAAAATTTGGTATAGTCTTAATCACGCATCGTGCGGTCAAATTTCTAATATTTACAAAATCAACATAATTTGATTTGATTTCTCCAATAAAATTGAATTCAAGTAACAAATAAATAATTTGGAATGTCATAAAACAGAATTAAATAAAACAAGTAAAACTTAACAAAACAAAAGAAAAACACATAAAAAACCATTCATTCCATGATAATTTGCATTTACCCAGTTTTCATCCATCTATCTGAATCATCTACGACCCAGACGAGCTAGCTCAATTGGCAGCACCCCAGGCAATTGTCTGAGAGCTCATCAGTTCGAATCTCGGATGGGGAGGAGTGACCAGGCCAGTAAAATGGTACAGTCAAAGGCTGACTCCCGGTCGGGGTGGGATTAAGGCCGAGGGCCCAAACCCATCTTTGAATTTCATAAAAGAAAAAAAATCTGAATCATCTTCTTCGTAAGAAGCTTTGGAATTTGCTATAAAAGTAAAAGAGAGATGGAAATCTACGTATTTGGAGAAGTCCAATAAAAAGTAAAATTTATAGTATATACGTTTGATCAAATAGATGAAAAATCAAATGTTCACAACTTTATAATTCATGTATAATATATTTTATATAAGAGGTTTTGACTGTACAGTAGAAACTAAATTACTAAAGTTGGGACTTTGATATTTAATTAATTTATAGAGTTATTAAATTTAAGGCCGAGGGCCCAAACCCATCTTTGAAATTCATAAAAGAAAACAAATCTGAATCATCTTCTTCGTAAGAAGCTTTGGAATTTGCTATAAAAGTAAAAAAGAGATGGAAATCTACGTATTTGGAGAAGTCCAATAAAAAGTAAAATTTATAGTATATACGTTTGATCAAATAGATGAAAAATCATATGTTCACAACTTTATAATCCATGTATAATATATTTTATATAAGAGGTTTTGACTGTACAATAGAAACTAAATTACTAAAGTTGGGATTTTGATATTTTATTAATTTATAGAGTTATTAAATTTAAGACCGAGGGCCCAAACCCATCTTTGAAATTCATAAAAGAAAAAAAATATGAATCATCTTCTTCGTAAGAAGCTTTGGAATTTGCAATAAAAGTAAAAAAAAGATGGAAATCTACGTATTTGGAGAAGTTCAATAAAAAGTAAAATTTATAGTATATGCGTTTGATCAAATAGATGAAAAATCATATGTTCACAACTTTGTAATCCATGTATAATATATTTTATATAAGAGGTTTTGACTGTACAATAGAAACTAAATTACTAAAGTTGGGACTTTGATATTTTATTAATTTATAGAGTTATTAAATTATCGATCTTGAACAAATTTTTTTATTTATTAATAACTAATTAAAATAAAAATTAAATTAAATTAAAATAATCTATTTTTAAAAGTATATTAAAATTTGTATAATTTTATTCTAAAATTTGGGATGAATTTTAAAATACATTTGAGCTCAAATAAAAAAAATAAAAGTATACTTATATTTTAATATATTATCATAGATATGCATTTACATAAGATTAATTATGATAATTATTATTTTATGATATTAATGGGATCATATATTTATATAGAAGTTTCAAAAATATCATTAACCTATTATCTTATCGAATTTTGAGAATTTTAACATTAGCTCAACTTAGAACCAGACAAAAATATTATTTTACAAAGTTTATTAATTATGGAGTATTAGTTTATAGAGTTTCTACTGTATATAAATTTTGATGAAAATTGTACGCTGGCGGAGAAGAAACGTGTAGCTGGTGGAGAAGAAGAGTAGAAATGATAGAGTTATTACCATTAATAAACTGATTATAAAATCTGAGGATAAAATGTTGGGAAGTTTGCACTTCTAACCCACAATTTGTGGTCAATAGCAAAAGTAACCTGCTGTATTTTTCATTTTGGCTTTACCCAGTTTTGTCCAGATAATAACGAAAATGCCATTACTTTTATCTCTTGTGGTCTACGAAGGAGGTCTACGTTTCGACCAAAAGACCAACAGAACCTCATCCTCTACACTTATTCACGAAACTGCCACTCTCATCAATGAACTCAACCACCATTTTCAACCAACTCCAAGCTTTTAATGCTTCATACTATAATTGTGATACTCCAAACATAATTGCACATCCCATACACTCTAACTCTATCATTTTCTCCACATTTTCATCCCAAAAACTCTCTAATTCTACTTTTCCATATTTCAAGTTCTTGATTTTCTCAAAATCGGGTTTGTGGCTTTCCTCACCACCGCCGAACGGTTGTGAAGGCTTAAAGACAAAGTTTCATCCCTCGGCGGCCCTAAAGACGACGGCCAGGTTGTGGTTTACTCCATTTTCGTTTTTTCATATCTGAGTCGATATCGTAGATCTCAGGGTTAGGTCTATAGGTCAACGCAGAGGTTAGTTTTGCAATTGACTAAGACAAATCTGTGGAGTTAGACCGCATAGAGAGTTCTAAAAAATCCCTTTGAAAACAAAAAAAAATGACGTAAACCTCAAGCAGAGGTCTATTTTGAAAACAGGTTAGTTTTGCAATTGACCAAGGGAGGGCTTTTTTCCCTTTGGTTTTCATGCAGATAATGGTTTGTTTGGCATCCGTGTATGGAGTGGACTATCAGAGACAGAAAATGGTATTTTGAGGTTGATAAAACGAGAGGAGGTAGAATGTTCTACCTGCAGGATGATTGTAAACATGAAGAGCTGGTTGAAATGGTTGTGAACGACTACATGTTGCAAGTTAATGGCGAGCTGCTGGAGTTGTCATATCCATTACCAGCTGCTATGATGGAGAAATTGCCAACGGATTCACCTCCTATGTATGTGACGAACGACAGACAAGTTGGGAGCTTGGTGGAGTTATGTAAGGAGCATGTGGTCCGTCTTTGCGTCTCGACCCGCGTTGGTATGGGAAGGAACTACAACGAACCAATACATGAGTGTGTCCAAGAAGAAAAGTCTGAAGAGGTGGATAAAGAAGACGTGGAAGAAGAATTCGGTGATGAAGGCTGGGATGATAACGAGTCTGATGATGTAAACTGGAATGACAAAGCATGGGATGTAAATTCAGAAGATGAATCTGATGATACTCATGACAATGATAGTGCTGATGATGTCGACAACCCCGACGATATCGATGCAGATTATAGTAAGTATGGCAAGGTGAAAGATGAGGAAGAGGGTGAAGAGAGTTTGTCTTTCCGTGAAAGGCTCCGTAGAGGTGTTTGGAATGGTGGAAATGGAGGGTTCACAGGCACTTGGTGTGACACTATTCTGGTAAATCACAGCTATGCCTCTAAAGAAGCCCTTCTTTCTGAGTTGCGACTGACGGCTGTGATGGCAAGATTCGCATTTAAAGTCTACAAGTCCACTACGGATTGTTTGTGGCAAAATGTGTTGTCAATGGATGTGCATGGAAGTTGAGAGCAGCTGTGAAGAATGAACCGGATTGCTTCTGGGTTACCAAGTACGTAAAGGGTCACACTTGTTCAATTATGGACCGTGTAGCTCACCGTAGACGAGCTACTCCAAGATATATTGGACAATTGTTTGTGGAGCGGACTGGACTCATAGATGGAATTGTCCCTCGACAAATTGCAGATTCGATGAGGATCATGTTTGGCTGAATCTTACCTATACAACGTCATACCGGGCTCTCAAATTCGCTCAAGTATTTGTCAGGGGAACTCCAGAAGATGGATATGCTAACCTTCCTTCCTACCTTAGAAGACTGAAGCAAGCAAACCCTGGCACTATAACACACCTGCTCTGTGATGAAGAAGATCGCTTCAAGTACTGTTTTGTGGCGTTAGCGGCTTCAACAGCGGGATTTCAGTACTTGAAGAGGGTTATTGTGGTTGATGGAACACACCTTACTGGGAAATACGGAGGCACATTACTCGTGGCATGTGGACAAGATGCAAACTTTCAAGTATTTCCTCTAGCATATGGTGTTGTTGATGCGGAGACTAATGAGTCTTGGGGATGGTTTTTTGATAAATTACAGACTTGTTTCTCACCACATCCGATGGTCATTGTTTCAGACAGAGCATTGTCCATTGAAAATGCTTGTGTGAATGTGCTTCCATGGGTCACTAGAGGAATATGCTACTACCATCTTCAGCAAAATATTATCAAGACATATGGTGGTAAGGAGCTTATGTATCTGGTTAAAGGAGCTGCTTATGCCCACACTCTAGCTGAATATAATCGGTGCATGGACTCACTAAGAGCTGCGCACCCAGACCTCGCAGCATACATGGAGTTGGCCGACCCTAAGCTTTGGTCTAGAGTACATTTTCCCGGTGATAGGTACAACATCAAGACGAGCAACATTGCTGAATCTATCAACTCGGCTATTAAAAAGGCAAAGGGTTTTCCCATACCCTCTCTACTCCAGTTTATTAGAGAGATGTTAGGGCGGTGGTTCTACAAAAGGCGTGAAGATGCTTTAAGTCTGCAGACACCATACAGCAAGGGAGTTGAGTATATACTGGCCATCCGTGAACATTACGCTCAGTCAATGGATGTTCAGCGAATAGATGCAACTAGTTTCCATGTTGCTGGACGTTCGCACTTGTAGTTGATCTAGAACAGGGTAAATGTGAGTGTGGAGTGTTCCAAGTCGAGAAAATGCCCTGTACACATGTCCTTGCAGCGCTTGCCTCAGCTGGTGTGCACGTCTCACACCATACATGTGACACATACTCGCAGGAATGCTTGTATGCGACCTACGCCCATCCTATATATCCTGAGGAGGAAATTGACAACCACAAGAAGAAGAGCGAGCGGTGCCGACCTCCAAAACCGAAGGATGGGCCTGGTCGTAAGAAGAAATCAAGATGGCAGTCGTGGCTGGAAATTTCTAGGAAGAAAGGCAAGAGTCGAAGGAAGAAGCCCAAAGTTTACAGCTGCTCCAAATGCAAGCAACCAGGACATACGCGCCCGTATTGTGTAAGCTTCGTGCGTCCCGCAGTTCCATTAGTTTTCATTACACAACCTCTGTAATTTGTTTGCTCTTCACTAGGTGTCCAAGCCTGCTGAGAAATAAGGTCGGTCTACGAGCGGTCTTCGAGAGGTCTACGAGCTTCAAGGAGGTCTACGAGGTTCACGAGGTCTACGGAGTGGAGGTTACGAGCCACTAGACTTATCCCGATTTTCTTTTCATATTGGTCTACGAGTGTGGCGGTCTATTTTCTTTAGTCTACTATTATTTTAATACTACTGATGATTTCGTTTTCTCGGGGATCAAGTAATACTAAAGACGGATTTCATTTCTTACTGCTTAATGTGGAATAGATACATCCGAAATAGTTATGTACATACAAAATAGTTATACAAAAGGTAGATCAATGTTGTCAAGAGGGGCCAAAAAAAATAAACCCTCCCTTTCACCGTTAGTAGAGGGCACAATAAAATTACCCACTAAGCCGTTCCTAAAGTTAGATTCAATCAGGATCTCCCGTCGAAAGGATCAATACCGTCCCAGTACGGGTCCTGGTCCCTTGCAATCGGTCTCCTTGAAAATGTCACAAGCATACCTACTCCGAATTGCCTTGATGTTCTTGTTGCACAGTGAAGAGGCTGAAAAAGCGTTTCCAGTTGCGTGACACTCGATGTATTTCAGACAGTAGACACCGCAATCCCCGGGACCTCTTGCTCCGGCACACCAGCAATACGTTCGTGAGTAAATTTATCGAACGGATAGTTGTCACGTTCTTCCACTAGTGTCATCTCGCGTAACATGTACGCCATCATCACAGCAACGGGTTCCACCTCCTCTCCAGTTCTTCATCGTCCATACGGCAGGGATAACTATCCCAGATCGTGATGTGCCTCTTCGGTAAGGAGATGAATAGAGCAACCCAGTGGTTCTTCCAATGTTAAACGGAGATATATCTCATCAATGTCCCTGCCCCATCGTTTATTCGTCTGGCAGAATTCTGGCTTGTGCCTTGGAAATAGTCAAGTGAGTCAGGTGGGAGGTACTTTCCAAGTCCGAAGACATTAGGCTCAGACTTCTTGAAATCGTCATACTTTGCCGTCCAAAAAGACTAAGACCACTATCGATGAGACAAGCCAGTCACTTCTAAAGCAGTGTGGTTGTTCTTTCATTCTGAGCCGCAGCAAGATTGATGACCACGTCCATGTGCTGATGAAAAGAAAAAGATTGAATATTAGATTACAATTACTCTAAACCTCAACATGCGGTCTACAAAAGAGAATTATGAAAGGTCTACGATAGAGGTCTAAACATAGACCTCTCTAAATGGTCTACTTTGCTTACCGAGTCTGATAGCCATTGCGGCTGCGTAATGAGCTCCCACCACCAATACCGGGGAAACTTACCTTGTCAAGCTTTGGATACCCACTAAAGCAAAAGTGTGTAAGTTAATATCACAATAATCCTATAAAGAATTTACCAGAGGGTTACTTACGCTGTAGACTTCAAGGAAGGCCGTTTAGTTCCTTCCGAACACCCTTGTCTTCGGGCAGATACGGATTGTAGACCTCTAAGCGCTGCTTCTTGTTACGTATGAGCTCCTTCACCGTAACGTTTCCCAACGGAACGGAGACTTTGAGATGGGGCCAGTTTCCTTTCCCTCTGATCCTTAGCCCTGATACTCATTAAGTTTCGCGTTAACTTCGCTGATTCTTCCTGATGTCTGCTAGGCATTCTTCTTCGCTTGGCACATAGGTTTAACATATGGCAACGCTGCTGTCATCACGGTTAGCACTGTTTGGATGGACCCGCGTTTTGGTTCTGCAATTGAGGACAATTTGAGTTTGAAAAACCAATTCAGACCACAACAAATAGCACAAACACACTCGGAACATTTATTGTAAGTCAAGTAAACAGGTTCATTAAAATTACAGACAAGGAAAGAAACGTGAAAAGTTTGTGTTTAACGGGAAAAAAACGGATTGGGCTCTACTTGGTCTTCCGAATTTTCTAGGTCGAAGGACCCTATCCTGGACAGGCTTAACTTGCACTTTACGCTTATCTTGCACTTTGGAAGAAGTTGTTGAGATTTGGAAGAGGGATCAATACTAACCAGTAGAGCAGGTTCAGCTTCTTTAGCGCCGGTTTCATCTTCTTTGGAGCCACTTTCATCTTCTTTGCAGCCGGTTTCATCTGATCTAAACTGCTCTTTAGCCTTGCCTCCATCAGCTGCTTAACACTACGCTCCATACCAGCAACTGTCGAGGTAAGTGCAGCTAGTTGCCGGTCATATTTCTGAAACCCTGCCTTCAGATCAGCAGACAAGGTCCGGGTGCAGTCAGAAATCAACCTCTGCAACGTCTCCTCGATGCCATCATAGTTTGATGGAGGAGCAGGAAAAGGTCTCTTCTTCGAAACTGTGTACGATGGCTCCACTTTTATTGCATGTGCCAAGTCCACTCGCGGGTGATTGGAGACCAAGACACCTTTTTCTTCCCAGTCGCTTGGCTTCCACCTCCACCAACCACCTAACTCCCCGTAGATTGTTGATATACCTCTAATTTACCCACTTTTTATACTGTTTTAGCATTGTTTTCTAATGGTTTTTGGCAGGTTTTCTATCTAAAAAGGTAGTTTTACTGTGTTTATAGTGTCTAGAGTCTAAACAGGTGAAATGATGCATTTTGGAGCAAAACCATAGGATTTGCACTTCAAGCCGCTCCATGCACAAGCACCAACTTTAAGAGGGCCCAGAAAAAGATCTACTCAATGGATTTCATCAAGACCAGTTCCCTGCGTGCTCTGATTGAGTTAACTTTCCAACGCAACTGGAATGGCCTAATTTGGATGAGTAGAAAAGGAGTTATAACCAAAAGAGTGAAGACTGTCCAGACGGCTCTATCGAGAATCAGCGCCCAACCGCGCAGTCCGGCTGGCCGAGAAACTATTGTCCGCGGTCGGCCAAAGCTTCAAACGTTCACGCCACGCCGCGCACGACCATGCCGCGCGAGCCGGGAAACAAGGCCTCGCGGCCGCGCAACCCTTCGCGTACCACGGCCGATGCATCCGTCCGAGCCGGGAAAGAACGTCCCACGTCCGGCCGAGAAACCATCGGCCAAATCTCATCCGCTCGACCACGCCGGCCGACCGTGAATCCATCCGGCCACGACCGTTCCGACTCGGCCACGACCCGATGTCCGGCCGATCGTCCCGACCGACCGTCCCAACGCCGCGGTCGACCCGAAGCCCGTTTTGAAGCCCAAACTTTCATATTTTCAAGCCCGGCTTAACCCTAAGCCGCCTCAAAAGACCTAGCACTATATATATGGATTTTTAGCCTCTTGTGAAAGAGAGCCGCCCTTGTATTTCGATTTCCTACTCTAAGTTTTATTGCAATCATGTTTTCTTCATCTCTATGTGTGTTTGCTTTGATCATGTCTGAGTAATCCACTAGTTAGGTTGCTAGGGTTACTATTCAATGAGTTGCTTGCATGATCTTTGATTTCAATGATTAGCTAGGGATTATATTAGAGTCTTTGTCTCGTCTTGTGCACTTAACTAATGCTGATTGCTTTACCGCGCATCTAGTAATCCGATCTTAGGTTGATTTGAGCCTCGACAGTGCTGTATCATTCGCCGGACATATTCTTTGACAAGCTAGGTTTCTTAGACTGCGAAAGTTGATCTATCTATATCTAGTGAACTGTATCAGAACCTATTCATTCTAATGCTTGATCTAATCACCTAGGGACATACCAAAAGTTTAGCGACTAGGTAGATTAGCAAAGGAGCCGGAGCCTCGAAAGTGGAATGGTTTTATATTCGTGATCTGTGTTCTAGATGGTTCTTAATATCCCAATATCCCTAATCAATTAATCTATCATTGTTTCATTGATCATTGCTTGCTTCTCTGCGATAGCCCCTATGACCTAGCGCTTTTCCTTTATTGATTTACAACCTCGTTATACTTGCTAGTTCGGTTCACCATTACAACCTCAATCATACTTTTGTTTTAGCTTGATCCAAAATCCATAGTTACAAAGTGTACTCAATAGCCAGTCCTTGTGTTCGATACCCATACTTCCGCGATCTGTGCACTTGCAGAGGTCTAGGAGTTTGGTAAAACCTGACTCCGCATCAAGTTTTTGGCGCCGTTGCCGGGGACTGCAGCAGTACCTTTGGAACTCGACTAGGATCTAGTCTAGAACCTTTTCCTGTTTTGCTTTTCTTTTGCTTTTGAATTTTTAGTTTTTGATTTCCTTTTCTTTGATTTTTACTTTTGTTTTTGTTTTTCCCTTTTGATTTAACTTGTTTCCAAGACTCTTTTCAGGTGCATGACTAGGAGGTCCAACAAGGACAACCTAGTTGAACATCCAGAGATAGACAAGCTTGAGAAGCAACTTAGGAAGCAAAAGCCCAAGAGATGGCCGACGAAGCAGCTCGCGCTCACGCCGCTGAAGTGGCGCGCGCTCAAGAAGAAGGAAGAGATCCACCTCCTCCTCCTCCTAATCCACAAGACCCTGCTGGAGATGTGAATGCACAACCCCAAGCTGGAGCACCTACAATCGGAGACTATGACTCTGCCGATGCTTTCTTCATGGATAGAAACCCTATCCATCCACCACCCCTGCAAGGAATGACTATGAGATCAAGCCTCAGATCATTGCATTGGTTAGACAGAACCAATTCAATGGACTTCCAGCTGAGCACCCTCTTGATCACATAGAAAACTTTGAAGAAATTTGCAGCACTACAAGATCCAATGGAGTCTCTGCTGACTACCTTAAGTGCAAGCTCTTTTCATTCTCTCTTGGCGACAAAGCTTCAAGATGGTTGAAGTCTCTGCCAGCTCACTCCATCACCACTTGGGATGAGTACAAGGCTGCATTCATCAACCACTTCTACACCAAACAGAGATCAATTTCTGTGAGAACAAGATCTCCACTTTCGCCAAGCCAACAATGAATCTTTCTATGAGGCGCTAGATCGATTCAAGGAGTACATTAGGGACTGCCCTAATCATGGTTTCAATGAGGGAAACCTATGGAACATCTTCTATCGTGGCATAGACCACAAGTACAAGCTTTCATTGGACACTGCAAGCAATGGAAACTTCATGACCAAGACTGTTGATGAAGCTAAGGTTCTTATTGAGAATCTTGCAGCTAGTGATTGTAACAACTGTCCTGATTATGACCGCTCAAGCCGCACCACTACTAGCTCCCCTGATTCTTTTCAAATGACTGAACTCAAGAACATGATGGCTCAAGTTCTTAAGGGACAGCTCAAGCATATCAATGCAATAGAAGGGATGAGTGATGCTAATGAAGATGAGAATGCATGGGAGACTCTAATGAAGCCAATGAAGAAGATGTGAACTACATTGGAAACTATGGGAACAAGGGATACAATCCAAGCTATCGCCCAAACCCCAACATGTCTTATAGAAACCCCAATGTGGAGAATCCTCAAGACCAAGTGTATCCTCCAAGGTATCCACAACAACAAAGACCTCCTTACCAATCTCAAGGAAGTCAATTTCAGCCAAGGCAAGGATATGAGCAGAGATCATCATATCCGCCCAAGGAGCCATATGCTTCTTCACCAAATCAAGCTCCTCCAAACCAACAAGGTGGGAGATTTGAAGGAATCCTCCAACAGATCATGGATGGCCAGAAGAGAAACACTAAAGAGATGTATGAGAAGATGGACACTTTGTTCAGCAATCTCAACACCAAGTATGATGCTGTTGCCACTCATGTGAAGAAACTAGAGACTCAAGTCACTCAAACTATGGAAGCTGTTAAGAGACAGGAAGCTGAATCCAAGAAGTCCTTTTGCAACTCAGCCGCCATAGAAGAAAGATTTGAAGACCAAGTTCCAGAATGGATGCTTTCAAAACCTACTGTTGATTGCATGATTTGGCCTGAAGAGAATTACCCAGAGAGAGAGTCCAATCGAGCTAGAAAGAGAAGACTCTTCCCAAAGATTATCCCCAAGACAGATAACTCAGGAAAGTTTGTGTGCCTTGTATCATCAAAGGTAACATTCTTGAGCAATCTTTGTGTGACACAGGAGCCAATGTGAACATCATGTCTAAGAGGATAGCTGACAAGATAGGCCTCACCAAGATAGAGCCATCATCCATCTCCATCAACTATGCTGATTCATTCTCACAAACCCCTATGGCTTTGTGCCTAATGTGATGGTGCAGATTGGAAATTGCTCTATCCCTACTGATTTCCAGATTGTGGAAATGAGAGAGAGTAGCCATAGACCTCTCATATTTGGAACCCCTTTCCTGTCTACTGTGGGTGCCATATTTGATTTCCCCAATCAAAGAATCTCTTTCAACAAGGTGAACAAGGGTATGTTCTTCCCTATGTGTTCAACAAAGAACTCTTTTGTTGACATGGTCCAAGAGGAGAAAGCTACTTTGAAGCCACCCCAAGAAGGAGAAACTGAAGAAACAATCAAGGAAGATCCCATTCCTAAGCCCAAGCAGCTTGCCAAACAAGCAAGGAGTAAGACTAAGGCCCCTACACCAAAACCGCCCAAGGGATCAACCAAGATTGAAGATGAGGCCAAGCCAAGAAGGAAGGTTAGAAAACCTAGGTCTGGCCGCAACATGAAGCTTCTATTCCCAAAGGAGCTTATTGATGAGAATCTAGAAGGATTCAAGGAGAAAGTGACAAGAACTCTAAAGCTTTTTCCTAAGGCAGTAGTGCCAAGGGACATTCATGGAGAGATTGTCTATCCAGCTGTGAATCACCCACCAGATACTCATTGCAAGGAGAAAAGACTTGGAGGATCAAAGATGCCTCTTGTCTCCATCTTCTCCTGAGCGCCAAGCCTTACAGTCAAGCTAAAGACTTAAAACAAGCGCTGCATGGGAGGCAACCCATGAGGTACTTTTACTTTTCTTTCTTTAATTTCTTAGTTTTTGTTTTGCTTTTGTGTTTTCTTTGTTTTAAGATAGGATAGAAGGAGAAAAAGGTGTGAAAACACAATCCGCGCCAAAACATTGGCCGCGGACGCGCAAAAGATTTTGGCCGAGCAATTCCAACTGGCCGACCGTCGGTCGAGCCGGGAAGGAATGCCGTGCTCGGCCGGATTGATCTATCGCGACAGAAAACCGTTCGCGCGCACGCACGAACCGGGAAAGAAGGCCGCGATCGGCCGAAATTTTCGTATCGGAACGGACCGACCGTGCCGGTCGATCCGGGAAACAACGATCGGCCTCGGCCGAAATCTCTCGGCCACGAAAATTTGGCCGACCAAATCGCTCGACCGCGACAAAATCCATCGGCCATCGGCCCAAAATTTTCTAGGCCAAGGTAAGTCCCCTTTTCATTAATTCAAACCGGTTTTAACCAATCTAAACCAACTTAAACCGGTTTTCAATCAAAATTCGAATTTGAAAAGGAAAATTGATAGGATTAGATCTTATTTACTTCACCTTTCCCTTGAAAACCACTTAAGAAAACCTCTCTTTCTTCTCCAAAACCCTAAACTCCATTAGAGGAACTCTAAGAGTTTTGATTTCAAAACTTTTACTGTTCATAACTCTAAATTGGAATTTACTTGCTCTTGCAACCTTATTCACTTTTCAACACACAAGGTATGTCTTCTAACTCTAATCCTATGTTTATGCAAGATCGAAAATCTTCAATAAGTTTCATGTTTGGTCTAAACTCTTGTCTAGACTTGAAATTAGCATCCTTATAGTCTTGTAATGAACTTTGCTAGGTGGAACCTAGGTGGTTTAGAGTTAATTTGAAGTTTAATTTCACAATTGAATAGTTTTTCACAAAACTTATTGGGCATTCCAAACCCCTTATTCAAAGGTGAAATTGCTTAGGCATACTTCAATTCATTAGTTTATCTAGTGATTACTTGGATTAGAAACTCAATTTCTCTTGATTTGCTGAAAATTTTGATTTTAAGCACCATAATCTTGGGATGAACAGTAAAATCCGAAAATTAATTTTGAAAAAGTGAAATTTCTATTTTGTCTCTTTGATTCATGATTAAGCCTTGAGTTGTTCCTTTATTCCATATCATTATTGCAACTCAATTAGCTTATTCTTCTTTTGCATTAATCACAAACTCATATTTCTTCCCAAGAATTTGCTCTTGTAGGTACACCAATGGCAAAGACAAAAGGAAATGAGAGTATGAAGAAGAAGAAGAACCCATTCATGGAACCACCAAAGAAGCAAATCAAGCTAGGGAGTAGTAGCTCCAATGCAAGAGCAGCAATACCAACTTCACCACATTCCATTGATGCAATCAAGAACATGTGGAGAGTCCAAGAAGAGGAGAAGATGATTGGGCACTTGTAACCTTTGTTGGAGAACAAAATCAAGACCCAAGAAAGTGTAAGAAGGCAATGGAGAAGGTGAACATCGAGCCATGTGTGAAGATGGACACCCAAACCCTTGATCTTCTCAAGATAAGAGATGATGTCACATGGTACATAGGAAGCTAGCTCAAGACTTGGAAGGCAAGAAGCTTTGTGTTCGTTTTGGGAGGCTTATCACGGCCATAGTACTGCATGTGGGGATTGACATTCCCAACTATGAGCCACTACCCAAGCCAACCCCTTTGGATCTCCATGCTCTTCAGCACATCCACTTCCTAAACCGTTGGACTAAAGACCCAACTCGGTTTTGCTATGAGTTTCCAATTGGTCCAGCCAACACTTCCCTTGTCTTGCTGCCACATGAAGACATCCCAAGCCTACGCTCAGGTGTTGTCACTTTCCAGCCCAATGAGGAAGAGTTCTATGTTCCATCAAGTGAGAAACCATCATTCCCCATGCTCACCTATCGCACACTTCAGCATGCAGTCAAGACTCAACGCCGCCTCCAAGAACGCCATGTTCTCACTACTGGCATGGCTGCGCATCAAGCTCTAGACCGTGTTAACAAGCTGGAGAAGATAGTGGAATGCCAATCTCGCTTCATCTCACGCCTAGTCCGCGTAGTTCGCCACATTGCACCGGAGAGACTCTTTCGCCCTTCTTCCACCGCTAGAGAGCCATATGAGCCTGACCTTGGTGAGTTCTCACTAGACTCAGAGCTTGGTTCAGAAGGCGATGACCCCATAGATGAGGAAGAGAGTTCTTCTCACTGCCACACATAGTCATCTCAAGTGGTACTTAGTGCAATGGACACTTACAAATCTCCATTTTCTATCCCTATCTTATTTTAATGAATTTCTCTTTATTTTTCTTTTACTTTGAATATTACCTCTCACCTTAATGTGATTTGCTTTCACCGGGACGGTGCAAGTTAAGTCTGGGGGGAGTTTTATTGTGTTACTAATGCATTTTTCTTTCTTTTCTTATGTTTTATTCACTTTGTTTCATGTTTTTCAAAAAGTTTTATTGAGTCAAAAACCAGTCCGGAAGTTATGAACTTGCTTTGAGAATTGAGAGTGTTATGCTAACAATCCATGACCCTAGAGCAGAAACCAGCTAAAGGCACAAGCCTAACAGAAGCTCTTACAGTGGATCGACATGCTAGCTCAGCAAAATTTCTAAGGTAACCAAGCAATCTAGAGTTAACCTCACCCTTAATCAATCTTAATACTCTTGTCAAGGGGGTTGGCATACATGTCGACAGTTCCTTGCTTGATTTTCAATAAGATTTGTCTAATCTTTAAAGAGTTCTCCTCTCTCTCCCATCCCAAATGGTAAGTAATGTTTATGAGAAAAAGCTCAAAGAGCACAAGGAAAACAAGTAAGCATGAGGAATGCATATGTCTGTACCTTCATGTCTTATGGAATACCTTAGTCAAACAAGGAACAAGCTAAAGACTTATCCTGTGGTTGAAAGAAGGGTCAATAGAAAAAATAAAATGATACCCTAGAAAAGTAGGGAGAAATTGACCTTTCAAAGTTCTGATGTGAGAAAGAGAGAGGAAAAGAACTCATTGCACTTAAAGACAATCTTGGAGAGGATCAAGTGGGTAAGAACAAGTTCAATTGATCGATGTCCCCTTGATAAAGAATTCACGCTTTAAATTTATGCAAGAGGTTAGCAATAGAGAGTTTGGATTGCTGGATGAGACTAGTTGGGTTGGTATTGTTCGCTAAACTTGCAGGGTGTATGTGAAGCTAACCTTATGTTGTCTATGTTCATAGTGGAATACAGGAAAGGAACCTTTCACAGGATATTCAAAAGAGCAAGGGAGTTCCACGTTTTCAAACCTCTTTCACGGATTTAGATTCTTTTTGCTTGAGGACAAGCAAAGATCTAAGTCTGGGGGAGTTGATATACCTCTATTTTACCCACTTTTTATACTGTTTTAGCATTGTTTTCTAATGGTTTTTGGCAGGTTTTCTATCTAAAAAGGTAGTTTTACTGTGTTTATAGTGTCTAGAGTCTAAACAGGTGAAATGATGCATTTTGGAGCAAAACCATAGGATTTGCACTTCAAGCCGCTCCATGCACAAGCACCAACTTTAAGAGGGCCCAGAAAAAGATCTACTCAATGGATTTCATCAAGACCAGTTCCCTGCGTGCTCTGATTGAGTTAACTTTCCAACGCAACTGGAACGGCCTAATTTGGATGAGTAGAAAAGGAGTTATAACCAAAAGAGTGAAGACTGTCCAGACGGCTCTATCGAGAATCAGCGCCCAACCGCGCAGTCCGGCTGGCCGAGGAAACATGTTCCGCGCTCGGCCAAATCATATCCGTCCGTCTGAAGTCTCGGCCAAAGTCCAAACCGACCGGCCGATCACGCAACACGACCCGGGAAACATTGTCCCGCGGTCGGCCAAGCCAAACGTCACGCCACGCCGCGCACGACCATGCCGCGCGAGCCGGGAAACAAGCCTCGCGGCCGCGCAACCCGTTCGCGTACCACGGCCGATGCATCCGTCCGAGCCGGGAAAGAACGTCCCACGTCCGGCCGAGAAACCATCGGCCAAATCTCTATCCGCCGACCACGCCGGCCGACCGTGAATCCATCCGGCCACGACCGTTCCGACTCGGCCACGACCCGACTGTCCGGCCGATCGTCCCGACCGACCGTCCCAACGCCGCGGTCGACCCGAAGCCCGTTTTGAAGCCCATTTCATATTTTCAAGCCCGGCTTAACCCTAAGCCGCCTCTAAAAGACCTAGCACTATATATATAGCTTTTTAGCCTCTTGTGAAAAGAGAGCCGCCCTTGTATTTCGATTTCCTACTCTAAGTTTTATTGCAATCATGTTTTCTTCATCTCTATGTGTGTTTGCTTTGATCATGTCTGAGTAATCCACTAGTTAGGTTGCTAGGGTTACTATTCAATGAGTTGCTTGCATGATCTTTGATTTCAATGATTAGCTAGGGATTATATTAGAGTCTTTGTCTCGTCTTGTGCACTTAACTAATGCTGATTGCTTTACCGCGCATCTAGTAATCCGATCTTAGGTTGATTTGAGCCTCGACAGTGTTGTATCATTCGCCGGACATATTCTTTGACAAGCTAGGTTTCTTAGACTGCGAAAGTTGATCTATCTATATCTAGTGAACTGTATCAGAACCTATTCATAATGCTTGATTTAATCACCTAGGGACATACCAAAAGTTTAGCGACTAGGTAGATTAACAAAGGAGCCGGAGCCTCGAAAGTGGAATGGTTTTATATTCGTGATCTGTGTTCTAGATGGTTCTTAATATCCCAATATCCCTAATCAATTCATCTATCATTGTTTCATTGATCATTGCTTGCTTCTCTGCGATAGCCCCTATGACCTAGCGCTTTTCCTTTATTGCTTACAACCTCGTTATACTTGCTAGTTCGGTTCACCATTACAACCTCAATCATACTTTTGTTTTAGCTTGATCCAAAATCCATAGTTACAAAGTGTACTCAATAGCCAGTCCTTGTGTTCGATACCCATACTTCCGCGATCTGTGCACTTGCAGAGGTCTAGGAGTTTGGTAAAACCTGACTCCACATCAATTGTCTTGATGATGTTGTCGACGTATAAATCTTCTACATCATCATCCCAGCGTGGATA